GCATCACTCACCAGCCTTATGCCCAACTCACTCTGGGCTGTAACAAGAAACAATCAGCCTTCTTCCCTTCCTGCTTAACTGAACCACAACACACTTACTCCCTTCTACACAGGCAACTAATGAACCCACAAGCCGCTTCACGCCAGGAAGCAGTCATCTCTTTGGTAAGGCCAGTTTTGCTTCTTTGATCAGAGGTGTTGATGGCAAGGGCAATAGGCAACTGAGCAGTTACTGAAAGGGAAAAAAAGGAAGTAAAGTTCAGGGTGTTCACTGGTTTATTTTACTCCTAGGGGCCCAGTGCACGAATTTATGCACCTTGAAAGGAACTGTGGGCCATGAGGTTATAGTGGGAACAAGGGCGGGTCTTGGCCCATCCTCCGCTCCCTTACCGGGCCCTTCCTGCTGCGGCCCCCTGTATCCTTCTGTCTGCAGCCTCACTCGCACTGCCGCTGCTCCCATGCACCGACAGCGCTGGCACTGCTTGCACCCACTCACAGCGTGGAGCAATTGGGACCAGCACCAGCAGCGAGTGCAAGCAGGGTCGGTGCTGTCAGCAGGTGTGAGCAGTGCCCTTCAGGAGCAGGGAGAGGTGGAAAAGCCCTCAGGGGCGATCAGGACCAGCAGCCGCTGCTCGCACCTGCTGAAAGCCCTGAGCCATCAGAACTGGCACTGACAACAGGTGCAAGCAGCGGCTCTGGCACCAGGTGTAAGCAGGGCTGACACCAGCAGCAGGTGCAAACGCCAGGCAGGACCACAGTGCACAGGAGCAAAGAGTTTTCAGTAACCACCAGAGGCTCACTCCATGATAGCAACCAGCATCCCGCCTAGGTCTGACACCCCCACTCACCTGCCCCACCATCCTGCCATGCTCTTGCCCCTGCTGCCCCTGGTGGTCAGCGCATGTCATAGTAACTGGTTATTGGTTGTTCCACTGTTCAATCTATTTGCATATTAGGATTATATATATATGTATGTATGTATATGTATGTATATGTGTATATATGTATATATGTATATAGATATGTATATTTTCCAGCCCTTCCAGAAGTTCAGAGTAACCTTTTCTTCAGGATTAGAGGACAGTGGGTTAAGGGATAAGGGACAGAGATGGATGTAAAAGAGAATGATATTAGAGAAACTTTCTGAACTCTTCCTAGTGAATAATGTGCAATGGAACCAAATGCAGTGTCCCCAAAAGGCAAGGCAAGGGCTACGTCAGCTGGAAAGCCATTATCTCCCACTCTCCAGGCCACAGAGCCATCACAATGGGATTAGAATTGACAAGGGAATCTTCCTGGGGCTGATAACTTAGGCACTCTCCTTCTACCTCTACCAGGGCGTCCTGGGGATCCGCAGCCCACACGTGTTCCACTTGCTCCTGGAAATGCTAGATAAAGAAAACAACCAGTCTGTAAAGAAGAGAGTAAGGCATTCCTACTCTCCTCTTCCTCTCCTAACCCTTCTTCCCAGCCCTTCCCATCTATCCTCACTACTTGCTTTGTCAGAAGGGAGGAGAGGGGAGTAAGTCCTCACACACCGTCCCTTTACCTCATTCCTTGGGGCCATAGTGCCCTGTGGCTAGAGCTCCCGCTCCCGCAGGTAACCTCCCACCCCCAATCCCACCCAGCCTTAGCCTGAAGTGAGCCAGCCACAGAGCCTTTATTTCAATGCAGCTACAAGAAACATTCACTATTTTGGCCTCAATTGATCCCTGGATCGAAGACAAGCTGAAAAATAAAGTTTTCTTTGTATCTGAGTCACCTCTGACCAAGGAGAAGGAAGAGCCTACAAGGTTCGGAACAGAGAATGAGATGCTAGAAGAGTTAAATATCCGAGACTTTCGACTTGCACGGCTGAGCCCCCTGTTTATTACAAAGGCCAGTACCTCATCAGACCATCAGGAAAAGTTGAGGGCCCAGAAAAGGTCTGCCTGTTACCTCACCCCTGCCTTCCCTCCCCGTTCCCCTAAACCACTAAAACCAAAGTCACAGGTCACAGGGCCTTGGACACTAAAAATCAGGAAACAGCTTTAGATACTTGCCAAAACCTCCAAATAGGTTAATTTTGGGGGCCTAGCCCTCACTTCCTGAGGATGCTTCTCAGGCTCCCATGAGAAAATGTCTTACTACTTACCCTCAATGAATAAATGTCACTCTACCTATTATGCTGTTCCCTTCATCAGAGGCTTCACTGAAATACAGATCTCCTCATGCTGGGTTGAAGGGACATGGAGGACAGAACCGAAACTATTCTGGATGACCGGCCTGCCTCCCTAAACCAAGCCCTTTGGTTATAAGTCATAACCAAAACTTAATAACAAAGCTAGAGTAGAGCTTCTGCCCCCAGAAGGGGGCGGAGGAAAAACTGCTGGAGAGAAAATAGGAGAAAATCCTGTAAGCATGGCTCTTGGACTATTTCCTCTTACTAACTTGCCCAACCCCCCACCACTCTCAGTGGAGATAATTCGGCTATAGTTAAGACCAACCACACTCTCTGCTCTCTCTTCTATGCCTACTTTCTACCCACCTCAGGGCCATTTCTTTGACAGGCCCTATTTATCCTTCCAAACTGCTTTAATTCTTCCTTGTTTACTGGAGGCTTCAGTTTCCCTTTGCCAGTAGGACCTGCCACACCAATCCAACAAATTATGTCCACCCTCAAGAAAAAAAAAAGGTTTAGACTTTGGAATAAGATCATTTGAAATCTAGGGATCACCATTTACTTGATCACATGTTCACCATAAACTCCCCAAAGTATAGATAACTTTCAGCAGCACTTTTCTTCAAAATACAGTAATGAATTAAAACTTAAAAAAAAAAAAAAAAAAAAACTTGCAGAAACTGGTTTGGCTCAGTGGATAGAGTGTCAGCCTGCAGACTGAAGGGTCCTGGGTTCGATTCCGGTCAAGGGTATGTACCTTGGTTGCGGGCACATCCCCAGTAGGGGTGGTGCAAGAGGAAGCTGATCGATGATTCTCTCTCATAGATGTTTCTCTCTATCCCTCTCTTCCTCTCTGTAAAAAAATCAATGAAATATATTTATTTTTTTTAAAAAGACTTCATCATTTTGGAGTGAAGCTCAGATATCCTTCTCTTAAAAAAAACTTACTAATTCCAGTATACAGCTGGGGTAAACAACCATATTATGGACAGCCTTATTTTAATCCAGAGGTCTACTGGATGTGTCTCTACTTGTAATTTTGAGTGCCCCAAACTCAACATAACTAAAAAAATACATTCCCACCTTGTTCTCACATCTGTTCCTGACTCAGTGTTTCCTATTTCAATAAATACCTATCTAATTGCCCATGCCAGTAACCTAACTCTTCCCTCCCATTTCTGACATGTAGCCAGATTCCTATCTAATTCCCCTCATTACTTCTCAAATTTAGTTATGTCCTCCTTTTCCAGTCAATATCTGAGCTCAGACCAGTGTTTCTCACTGGCTTACCATTGTCTCCTGTTCAGCTTCTTCACTTTCTGCCATTATTGTCCTTCAGTAGATAGCTCAGGTTAGGACACTCCCCTGGTTAAAATCTTTGATTCCCTATTTTAAGGTAGGAGGAAACTGAAATGCAAGGACCTTGTGTAAGGTGACCGGACAGCCCGATTTTTAACTATTTGTCCCGAGTCCCTCGGCGTTTTAAAAAAGTTCTGATTTTTTTAAAGATTCTTTTAAATCTTTTGGACTTATTTAAACCGCAAGACGCAGGAAAAACTGTTAAAAATCGGGACTGTCTCGCCAAAAACAGGATGTCTGATCACCTTAATTGTGGTAAAGCTTGTTTACCTCTCGTCTTAGCTTTTGCAAGCCTATCTTTGAACTCCTCCCTCACAATGTACTACTTATACTTCTCAAGCCAGCATCTAGTCCTCAGTCTCTTCATTTCTCCAATCCCGTGGTCAGCAAACTGAGGCTCGAGAGCCACATGCGGCTTTTTGGCCCCTTGTGTGTGGCTTTTCCACAAAATACCACGGCTAATGAGTTTGCTGACCACTGCTCTAATCTATTTGTTGATGCCATTAATTTTCTGCTGGGAATACCATTTCCTCAACCCAGCCTCATTACTTGGCCAATTCCTACTCTTCCCTCAAGACTCATCAATCCTTCCTGATCCCATGACTGAATTAAGTGTCCTCAAATCAGCCCTCAAAAGCATCTTGCATTTATTCTTACTGGTGCACTTATCTGTATATTGTTTGCTTGATGAGCACATATTGAGATCTGATATAGTGCCTGTCCCAGGTTCTTGGTAAGGGTAGAAGAAATAGTTTTTAATGAACACCAAATAACACACCTTGTACACTATTGAATTGTTACTCTTCTTACCTAGCCCTTTGACCTCCATATTCCCAGCATCTAGAACATTGCCCTAAATCAGTGGTTCTAAATTATAAACTGGAATTCTCAAAATCACCTGGTGAGCTTGACATAAAGGTTCCTAACTCCTTCCCCACATCCCCACCAAGTTCTGATACAACAAACTTGAGATGAGGCTTAGGTAATCTAATTTTGACAACTCCCTCAGGTAATTCTGATGTACAGTCATTCTTTAGAAATTGCTATTCTAAACAGAGTAGACGCTCAATAAATACTGTTGAAAGTAACATATTAATTTAATGAAGTAGGATCTATTTCTTAATTCTGTTAAGGGTTAGAATCTGCTGTAACTGAATCCTGAGTGTGACAGAACGGTGCACTAATATACAAAAATTCACAAAACAAGAAGCCTTTATTGCAGTATTATAAAACACTTTCCATTTTGGCAATATTTTACAACGCACTTAGCTTCAAGGGTTGGGAAGGAGAAAGTTGGAAACTAAAGGAGAAAATTCCAACATTACTAAAAGAAAAACTGTCCCAGCCCTCCCACCCAAATAAAATTCTAAGTGTCACTTAATTTCACTACCCAAGAAGAGGCCACCAGGAAAGCAGCAGGCAAAACTCTGGCAATTTCACTGTGGATCATGTCAGAGACAAAGGAACATTCAAAACAGTCATCAGTATGGTCGGTTGCGCTGATCATTTCTGTAGTCATTTCTAGGAATGAAAAATAAAGAGCCAGATTAATTTTCTACCAAGGAACACATCAAATACCTCTTCAGTGTGCTGGTGACTGGTATCAGCTTGACAATTTCTGCAAGGTTAGCACCATGCCTGATTTATCTACTTCTAGAGGATGCGTAATAAATCTCAGCTTTAAGATCCTAAAGGCAGCTTTACTATCACCAACTTATTAAAATTTTCCACCTAGAATAAGAACTCCAAACCACTATAGTATTTTCAGGAGGCCAATGGAAACATATCCTCCTGTGAGGATTAAAACAAACAAATTTTAAAAACCATACTTATTTTAAAAAAGAATAAACTATTTCACAATTGTAACTCTTATCTTTGCCCACTCTGTATATACAGACACTTTTATAGGATTTGCCACACAGAAGTATTCAATAGATGGTAATTACTAATAGTAAACAATTACACAATACTTACTATGGGCCAGCAACTGTTATAACAGTTAATCTAAATCCATGAAGGAAGTACTATTAGCCCCACTGTACACATCAGAGTACTGATGCTCCACAGGGTTAAGTAACTTGCCTAAAGACACATAGGTAGAAAGTGGTGAAGACAAGACTTAAACCCAAGCAGTCTGTCTCTAAACTCTGTGCTCTTAACCACATGCTATGCCAAGTCTCACTACCTATATTCCCTCTGGCATACAAATGCTTGTAATAACTAAAAGTTATTTAATATCACTGGTCATTCCTTTTTTCCTACCTCTACACCATTCATTGTGCAGTATGCAACACACTCCTAGCAGTGCCAACAGTGATTTTCATCTGGAAAAGGTATTACCAGAATTGCCAAAAAAAACCTGTAGAGTATATATAGCACACGTGATTTGAAAAAGCATACCCCCACCACTGAGATTAAGAATTCCTAATTTACAGTTTCAAAATACCACTCAATCTCACCTTTAGCCACGGGAATGAATAATAAACACATAGATATACAAATATAGGGAATTATGAGTAAGAATTTCCAAAACAATAAATTTTAGAAACTGCTAAAGAGTGAATTAAATATCTTCTCCATCCTCACTGGCAGAATTGTCAATGGGAAATTCAAGTGCCAAAACACTGGACAATAAAAGAACCTTAAAAATCTAGCAGTGAGATAAAACTATGTTCTAATACTCACCTTCCTCCCATTTTGCCTCCATAGCCACCTCGGTCTCCTCCATAGCTGCCACCACTCCGATCTCCTCCGTAGCCTCCACTTCGGTCTCCACCATAGCCACCGCCGCCTCCGTAGCCCCCCCCACTTCGGTCTCCACCGTAGCCGCCTCGGTCCCCACCGTAGCCTCCACGATCCCCACCGTAGCTGCCTCGGTCCCCTCCGTAGCCGCCTCGATCTCCTCCGTAGCCGCCTCGGTCTCCTCCGTAGCCACCTCGGTCCCCGCCGTAGCCACCTCGGTTTCCTCCATAGCCGCCTCGGTCTCCTCCATAGCCGCCTCGGTCTCCTCCATAGCCACCTCCTCTGTCCCCACCATAACCATCCCCACTTCTATCTCCACCATAGCCACCCCCACTTCTGTCTCCTCCATAGCCACCCCCACCTCTGTCTCCTCCATAGCCACCCCCACTTCTGTCTCCACCATAGCCACCTCGGTCTCCACCTCTGCCCCCACGACCTCTATAGCCCCTCTCTCCACCGTAGCCTCTTCCCCGGAAATCTGCAAGGTAGAAACAGAAACCAGTAAGGTCAGCAAAATAATGTAAAGCTTCCTTAGTGCTAGCCAGAAGACAAACACCATGTAGATGCTAATAAGGCGGACACAAAGAGCTAACCTACCTCCTCCTGAGGGACGAGAATCCTCTGGTCTGGGTTCATTGCACTGATTGCAGGAGTTCCTTCGAGCGAAGTTCATATTTCCACATGACCTGAGAAGAAAGGAAAATAAAAGGTTCAATAGCTTCCAATGGATTCAGAACCCCCACTTGCAGATTCCAACCTCAAACCTAACTTCTACTCCTACCGAAGTAAATGGAATACTTACGGATTAGGGCAAACCCAGTCCCCACTTTTGGGGTCTCCACCTCTCCCCTGAAAGCCTCCACGGCCTCTATATCCTCCACGGCCTGAGGAATATAGGGGAGGAAGAGAGAAAAATCAGCAGCAGACCTTAACTAAGCAGAGAAAAAGCACCAGATGAAAGAACTAACAGCAAGTGCCTACCAAGAAGTGGACAGCCCCACACCCTGTGGTAAGCCTCCATGATTCTTTAATTTGGGGCTTTATGTAGTAAGCACAGGCTATGTGAGAAAGACCACAGGCACACTTTATAGTGTCAATACTTTAAAGTTAAAAACTTTCCTGTAATACCCTCTTTAAGAATCTCAGTAATAAAGGTTAAGTGAAAAGACATATTCCAAATTTAAGGAATTAGACCCAACAGAAATAACAAGCTAGCAGTAACTTTATCAGGGAACTTACAAACTGGTCAAATTAAGTACCTAATCAGGTGTCATTTAAATGACTGCCTCCTGATTTCAGGGTTAATAACAAACTGCTATACAGCTTTCCAAAGGGATATTTACAACCTTCTCCCACTATTCTCTTAGGTACTATATGACATCTTATTTACCTAGTCTCTATTTAGTATCCACTCTCACCTTAAAACAGAAGGAAAAAGACCAAGAGGTGTAGCAAGTTCTCACAATAGGGACAGAGCATACACTCAAATTCAAACCCTTTGTACAATATTCAGGCCAGTAAGCAACAAGTATCTTACCTCGCCGCCCACCTCCACTTCCACCTCCCCTCATAAATTCAGGTCTTCTAGTAGCAAAGGACACTTTAATGATGTTGCCATGAAATTCTTTTCCTAAGAAGAAAGAAAATGGTTTTGAAGAAATGCTACTCCACATCTGCATTTCTCAACAACTGTAAACTGTCTTGGGTAATTTCAATTTCAGAGGAATAAGTAACGTCCTCACAGAAATTCAAACACACTAGTGTTCCCAAACAATCAAGGTAACACTGCTAAGACATGACATAATCTATTTAATAGAGCAGATCTATCACTGGGAGAGTCATTTATTACTAGCAAAAAATAAAATAAAACCTTATTTTTACATAAGCAATGTGTATAGTTTGCTGTTTGTTTTTTAAAAGGAATGTGTGTGTGTGTGTGTGTGTGTGTGTATACACATGCCTAAGTGTGCACACATAGTTATATATGTACACATATGCTTGTATACACACTGCCTATTTTAGTTCAGTCTCAATAGGGATGAGAGACCACTGATGGGGAATAGGGTAGTCAAAGGTAGAAAGGAAACTAATTTTTTACTATATACTCTTGGTACTGTTTGACATATTTTTTACTATATGAAAGTAATATCTTTAAAAATAATGTGTGCATATGTGATTACTTAAATACATGTACTATATACAAATTCTGCTGCCCTAGGTCTTACAGATAAAAATTAATCTTTACTTTATATTAAGTAAGAGAATTGACATATAAAGAAAAGATGCCCAAAGATTCATGAAATAGCTTTAAATCCAAGAGCCTTGGCTCCCTGAACAAAGCCTTAATCACTTTCCACAGATGGTATGACATGCACTTTGACATAGGAAGCAATTCAAGGATCAGTCTTTTTAAAGCTGTAAAAAGACCTGGTAAGAGATGAACTATAGACATACAATTTAAGAGGCTCATAAATGGCACAATAATTTTTAAAAATATCATGAGCAAAAGAAATTGCTTTATAATTCACAGAAACTATAAAAAAAAAAAAAAAAAAAAAAAAAAAAAAAAAAAAAAAGCAGAAGTGAGGGAAAATGGACCCAACCTTTAAGAGCAAGGTGTTGGTTGGGTGGCCTGATGGAGTAGTATAAAAACAAAGAATATGGAGGTAAGAAGACATAGGGTATCATAATCTCATCTTGAAAGAAGTAAAATTATGTTTTGAAAAACAGGGGAATCTATAACATGAGGAAATGACTAGGTTAAAATGTTAAGTGAAAAAAACATGAAGCAGAGAGGGCACACTGAGTGGTTGTGTGGCGGCATCTCAGAGATCAGAGCACTGGCAGCATGGCTGGCCAACTGACTGAAGAGCAGACTGCAGAATTCAAGGAAGCTTTTTCACGATTTGACACAACGTGATGGAACTATAACAAAGAAACTGGGAACTGTAATGAGGCCTCCTGGGCAGAATCTCATAGAAACAGAGTTAAAGGACATGATTAATGAAGTGGATGCTGATGGTAATGGCACAATGACTTCCCAGAATTTCTGACAATGATGGCAAGAAAAATGAAAGACACAGACGGTGAAGGAGAAATTAGAGAGGAATTCCATGTGTTTGATATAGAGGACACTTGCTATATTAATGCAGCAGAACTTTGTCATGTGAAGACAAATCTTGGAGAGAAGTTAGCAGTTAAAGTTGATGAAATGATGATCAGGGGAGCAGCGATTGATAGTGATGGTCAAGTAAACCATGAAGAGTTTGTACAAATGATGACAGCAAAGCGAAGGCATTATACAGAATGTGTTGAATTTCTTGTACAAAACTGTTTGTCTTATAACTTATCTGGAAAAGCTTTTCCCTACTGTCAAAAAAATATGCATGTATAGTAATTAAGACTTCATTTCTCCATGGTTTCTTCCCTTAATTTACTATCATTGTCCTGAAACCTTATTTTACAAAATTGATTAAGGGCTTACTCTGGATATATCTAAGACCTTCTGCATATCTAAACTTAGATGGAGTTGGTCAAATGAGACATCTGGGTTATGCCTTTTTTTAAATGTATTTTTATTGATTTCAGAGAGAAAGGGAAAGGGAGTGACATAGAAACATTAATGATGAAAATCATTAATCGGCTGCCTCCTGCACACCCACTACGAGAAGTGAAGGAGATTGAGCCTGCAACCTGGGCATGTATCCTTGACTGAAATTGAACCCAGGACCCTACAGTCCCCAGGCCAACACTATCCACTGAGCCAAACCTGCTAGAGCGTTATGCCTTTTTTAAAGTAGTTTTCTTTAGCCCTAACTGGTTTGGCTCAGTGGATAGAGCGTCAGCTTGCAGACTCAAGGGTCCCAGGTTTTTTGTTTTTCTATTTTTTTTTTTGTGGGGGGGGGGGGTAAAGTTTTTTAATTGGAAAACAAATCTACAAATTGGAATGGATTTGAGGCAAATTGTACTGTAATCAAATTTTAAGTGGCTAAACAAAGTTTAAAAAGCAAGTAATGAAATAAAGTGTTTCTGATACAGGATCAGCAGTGCAAAAAATATAAAGTATAGCCGAAACCGGTTTGGCTCAGTGGTATAGCGTCGGCCTGTGGACTGAAAGGTCCCAGGTTCGATTCCAGTCAAGGGCATGTACATTGGCTGCGGGCACATCCCCGGTTTCTCTCTCATCGACGTTTCTGGTTCTCTATCTCTCCCCTTCCTCTCTGTAAAAAATCAATAAAATAATAATAATAAAAAAAAATATATATATATAAAGTATAATAAACACTTTATTAATAAGAAAGAAAATATTCTATCCCATTCCTCCTTGGGGGTGTGCAGGAGGCAGCCAATCAATGATTCTCTCATCACTGATGTATGTATGTATGTATGTATGTATGGGTGTGTATATATATATCTCTTCCTCTCTGAAATCAATAAAAATATATTGATTTTTTTAAAAATATATTGATTTTTTAAAAAAGTGAACAGAAAAATAACCACTGTCTACCAGAACATATTTTGACTTCAACACTAGGAAACATTTATCCAAATGGCATGTTGAAATTATATGAATAAGATATACCATCAAACCAGTCAATGGCTGCCTTAGCTGAAGGAGGATCATCAAATGACACTGTCGCCTCCCCTTTTGACTTCCCTGTGTCCTTGTCTGTGTACAGATTTATCATTGGTTTTCCAGTCTTCTTATTTGTCTGAGGAACAAATAAGTTAGTGTTAATATTTTAAGAAAAAAATGATCAGCAACCATATCATTTATTATTTTTAAGGAATTCATACACCTCACTCTTCAGATTCAGATATAAGACTAAAGCTTACAAAATACTATGTACCTTTTATAAAAATAAAGTTATCTCTAGTTGTAAAAAAGAAAATACTCTAAGACACATTAAGTGTAAACCAAATTAAAAATAATACATAGCATAATGTTTTATCTATGTAGAATTCTCCCAAGCCCCGCCCAAAAAATAGTAAATATTGCTTCTTGTAAAACAAATTAAAAAGACCAGGAAAGCCCTAATTGGTTTGGCTCAGTGGATATAGCATCGGCTTGCAGAATGAAGGGTCCCAGGTTCGATTCCAGTCAAGGGCATGTGCCTTGGTTGCAGGCACACTCCCAGGAGAGGGTGTGCAGGAGGCAGCTGATTGATGTTTCTCTCTCATGGATGTTACTAACTATCCCTCTCCCTTCTTTGTAAAAAAAAAAAAAAAAAAAAAAAAAAAAAAAAAAAAAAAAAAAAAATTAGATATATATATATATATATATATATAAAATAATAATTTTTAAAAAAGACCAGGAAGAATGTTCACTAAGCAAACCAATACATCATCACTAAGATTATAAACAGATTTGGCTAGGATGGGAGTGGAAAACAAAGCGGAATTTTTACTTAACCATAATTGTGAATTTTTTACATATTTCATGTGTAATTAATTCCTTCAGAAGTTTTAACTTCCAAAGAAGAGGGGAAAATAGTAAGTTATCCCACAGACACCAAAACAAGACAACTGCCAACTGATTTCAAGCAAATGCTATAATCTACTAACACTGCCCTAAAAGATGCTTTCTACTTGAGAGATGAAAATATTTGCATGAAACAAATAGCATACAACAAACTGAAGTAAACAATAAAGTTATAAAATAAAGCATTATACATTGGGCTAATATATATCACAGACATAAAATAGCAAAGTAAAAATGCTATCTAAAAGGGTAATATACAAATTGTCCATCACTCCAACACATAAGATGGCTGCCCCCTTGTGGACACAAGATGTCCAGCAAGGGAGGGCAGTTGTGGACGATCAGGCCAGCAAGGGAGGGCAGTTTGGAGGAACCAGGCCTGTAGGGGAGGGCAGTTTGGGGGGTACCCGGCCTGCAGGGGAGAGCAGTTGGGGAAGGCCAGGCCTGCAGCAGAGGGCAGTTGGGAAGAACCAGGCCTGCAAGGGGAGGCAGTTAGGGTTGGCCGGGACAGCAGAGGAGGGCAATTGGGGGGTGACCAGGCTGTCAAGGGAGGGCAGTTAGGGGTGACCAGGCCTACATGAGAGGGCAGTTAGGGGCAAACAGGCAGGGAGAGGAGCAGTTTGGCGTCGATCAGGCTGGCAACGGAGTGGTTAGGGGGTGATCAGGCTGGTAAAAAGAAGTAGTTACGGGCAATCAGGCAGGCGAGTGGTTGGGAGCCAGCAGTCCTAGATTGTGTTCGGCCTAAACGGGCAGTCGGACATTACTCGAGGGTCCCAGATTGGAGAGGGTGCAGACTGGGCTGACGGACACATACCTCCCCCACACCAGGCCTCTAGTGTTTTATAACAACTTGAGTTTGCATTTATTTGTATTTCAGAATCTATAAAATGTTCTCACAATCTCATTTGGTTCTCACAATTTTAGGTGCTAGTCAGACTGTTTATATAAATATATATTTTTAAAATGTTTTTATTGATTTTAGAGAGGGAGGGAGAAAGATAGAGAGATAGAAACATTGATGAGTGGAACACCATCCATCTGCTGCCTCCTGAATGTCCCCTACTGGGTTCAAGCCCACAATCTGGGCATGTGCACAGGGAATCACACCAGTGATCTCTCTCTCTCTCTTTTTTTTTATAGTTTGATTTTTTTTCTTTTTATAAACCCTTTTGTCTAGGGCTGACTTTCAATAGATCGCAGCGAGGGAGCTGCTCTGCTACGTACAAAACCCAGACCCAGAAGCAGGTCATCTACAAATGGTTTAGCCAACATACCAGTGATCTCTTGATGCTCAACCACTCAGGCACACCTGCTGGGCCAGAGACTATTTTTAGAGCCCTAATATTAAAAGCTAAAGCTGTGAAAGGCTGTGGAAAGGTAAACACAAGCAAGGAATAAAATCTTAATGTATTTAGCAAATGCCTGCAGACAATGGTGAGCATATACATCAATGAATTTTTAAAAGACAAGGCTAGCGCTAGCCCTGGCCCTGGCCCTGCGTTAGAGCATCGTCTATTACATCAAGGTTTGGGTTTAATCCCTAGGTGGGGTATATATAAGAATCAACCATTTATCGTAAATAAATGGAACAAAGTGATATTTCTCTCCCCCTCTCTTTCTCTCTAAAATAAATAAATAAAAAATTTATTAAAAAAGAGAGCCAAGCCTTACTAGAGTATAGGCTTATTATGTAATCTATGTATCTTAACCAGAATATGTTAATGACTGTGAGATTTTTAACTTTTCACTCACCTTGATAATTCCTATCTGTTTAAAGAACTCCCCCACTTGATCTGTAGACACACCCTCCCCAAGTCCTTGCACAAAGATTGTGTTGTTATCTGTATTATCAGATTCTGAATCTAAGAGGGAAAAAAATTATGGTTAATTTTACATAGTCCTTGGTTTTACTATATCCTGCTTAGTAAATGAGAACAATAATTTACTATCCAATATTCAACTGTTTCTCTGACCAAAAGGAAAAAGGACCAATGTAAAAAAAAAACACAAAAAACACAAAGCAACAACAACAACAACAAAAACCTTATATAAAACATGCAAAGTGGTCACAATCATTATTTGATCAATTCTTACAACTAAACTTACGGTAAAGTGGATCAAGTCCACACTATGTAAAATACATAAGACCAATTAAGAGAGCTCTTACAAATCTGATTCTTTAGGTTCAGATACAGGACTAACGCTCATGAAGGGATAAAGAAAATTTATAAATTTGCACTCCTTTCTTTGAAGAGCTTTAATTCTTTATGGCTAATCAATACTTTTAAGGATCTCTAGTGGAAAAGTCCCCAAATCTAGCACTTTGGACCTCCAAGCAAGGTAGGCAGAATTGGTGGTTTCCCCATCCACTGCAAAAAGCTTTGTATATACCAAAGGGTAGGGGCACCTTGACACACACCTAACCTTAAATGCACACTTTTGGATTAGTACAACAAAGTAAAAAAAGATGTAAAAAATTCAGTCCATCAAGGGATAATTCAGAAATTGCCATCCATATAGAATACTTTGGCATCTTAATAAAAACAAAAGTTCTGATTTCAATATATATTAAAATTTTTTGTCTCCAAGATTTTAAATCTCTAAATCATAACTTTCAGGCCTGGCAAGGCAGCTCAGTTAGAGCATCATCCCAATATGCCAGGGTATAGGTTCAATCTCCAGTTGGGGCACATACAAAAACCACCAATGAATGCATAAATAAGTGGAATAACAAATCAATGTTTCTCTCTCTAAAAATCAATCAATAAATATAATATAAATCATAACTTTCAAAAGGTTCCATGTAGCCTTGAATTTCATTTAAAAATAAAAGGCCACATGAAATTAGTGACTCGTGCCCATAGTAAGACAATTCTCTCATGTGTGAATTCAGGTTTCTTAGGCCCACTAAGGAGACTACCAACCCAATGTTATAGTTTCATAAGCAAAGCTTTTCTACTTCTAATGATACCAATCCTCTCAATTCTGATTTGTTGTGATTAAAGAAAGAATACTAATTAGCAGTATAAAATCAAATATTTCTTCACAGAAGAAAAAGCGGAACATAAGAAAGCATAAACATAATTTGTTGCAGCAAACTTTCCATCTCTCTAAATTTTCCTTTCTGGTATGTCTTAAAAAATAAAGCACCCTGGTTCTGGCAGGACTATCAGATTAAATCTTTCTCCTGCACTAACTCCTTCAAACACACCTTTTCCTTGAAAAAAGTGGAAAATTAACATTCTCTTAAAGGCAAAGTATAAACTACCATAAACCTTACCAGCATCTGGTCTGGGTCCATAATCCCTGTGACCTAAGAAAAAGAAAAGAAAAAGAAAAGAAAAGCTATTTAAGACAACTCATTAGAAACTACTATCAAACAGAAATAATAGCCAAGGCATGGAAAGTCAATACTTCCAAAATCCTTGAAACAAGTCAACCATCACAGATTTATAAAGTAAATATATAAATTAAGTTTTATTAAAAGTTTAAGAAATCAAGATGAATGTCAAAATGTCCCAAACAACACCTGCAACTTTGGCATTATGCTAATATCACTTTTGTTAAGCTCTGGTTGTGAAGGCTGATTAAAAACCCTAGTAATTTAAAAACTCCATGTCAGCTACCTTTACTTAAAAAATGTATTGTTCAAAATCCAGTGAAGGTCTTTTCATTGGTAACCATACTCTTTCATGCAAATTCACTGTGTCGAAATCCATTGGACTGAGATCAACTTTGGCTTTTTAATGTTTTCTTTGATATATATACATGTATATATAGAGAATCTATTTTTTTAAAGCACACAACACACCAGCCTCAACCGAGTAAGATAGGGCTTAGACTGCATCTGCGAGATATTGGTGGCTTTTAGATTTATATAGCATTTCCACGGAAACATTTTGGGATACTCAGCACTTACCACCAAAATTTTTGAAGCCACCGCGGTCACCACCACTGCAGAGGAAAAATTGAAGAAATGATTTCTTCCTTAAGTCTCTAATGTGCTGAGCCCTGGGCTCAATCTACACTTAACTGTCACAAGTAGAGCACCTAGGAAAACAGTAGCACCTCTAACTTTCCAGTAAATTCCGCTTCATAAACTTCAAAATGTTGTTTTTATCTAAGTGTTTTCCCAATTATCTATTTCCACAAGCGTGTCTTTTCAAGTGTATTACAAAACATATCTATAATATACTATTTAAAGTCTTCCCAACCCAAGCCAAAGGGATACTATTCAAATCATAACTTAAAGCTGGAAGCACAGCATGAAGAATGTCAGAGAAACAATCTTTCCAAGGAGATAAAAAATAGAAGAACAACATAAAGCAAGGTTAAGATTTTGATAGCAGAATAGGAGAGATAACTTTAGTGTATTTTATTCTGATACAAAATAGGTTTTATGAGATGAAGAAAAAGGGGAAGGTAGTTACAGTAATATTCTAAAAACTATGGATGGTGTCAGATGGATATGAGATTTATCAGAATGATCATTTAGTAAGTTATATAATGTCTAATCACTGAGGTGTATACCTGAAACTAATATAATACTGTATATCAACTGTTAATTGAGAAATAAAAAATGATTTAAAAAATAAGTGTGGTACAAATATACATGAAAATAAGCCTGAGTGAAAGCAGTCTTAAAATTGCAAATCATTCTAAAAACTGATAAAATGAGCATAAAAAAAGGTTTAACTTAAAAATGCCACTTACTCCATACCCACTATAATGTACTAGGATCTGTTCACAGCAGAGCTACTGAGGTTCATGTTATTAAATGTTCTGTACTCCATTTGGTAGAGTGTATTAGACAGAAAGCAATACACTCCAATACTGTAACTTCCCATAAGAAAATAATATATTTGGCAAATTTCCACTGTCAGATAAGTCAATGGTCCTTTATGTGCACAGCTTTATGTAAGAATCTAAGATCTGTCTCATCAAGAAACTTTAAACATCCATACACTGAAAGCTTGTTTCTCTTGACTGAATTAAGTAATCCTCTAAGATTCAAGTGCTGAAATGGAAATCAAACACAAAGTTTTTAGGTGATAATACCTAATCTTCTATTACTACTACTAATCTCCTACTGTAATCCAAGAAACTAATCCAATATACTAATGTCTTCACTTCAGAAAAACTTCTCTGGGGATAAGCATGCCCTCTAGCTGGCTTTTCTAAGCCATCCAGAGAAAAACTGCTCTGACTAAATAATAAGAGTCTTCCTTTATCATTAATTTATTCTACTAACTTGATGTAAAAAAAATTACCTCTTGCAATCAGCTTAGATACATACATCTTAATATGCTATTTGATTTTCAGGAAGCCTAAAAAGGAAAATAAGCCAAAAGAGTTCTTGAGATTAAACTGCTAAAAATCTTATTATTAGAAACCAAAATATCTCAGGTTTCTTCAAAGATGATCATTGGAATTTCAAAAAGTGATGAGAAAAGAACCAGCGAAAATGTTTATTTTAGTTCATATTCCTATGCAAGGGAGTTAAAGTCCCAGGATAAAGTAGATTTTTTTAAATAGGCGATTTTCATAAGTAAATACTGAAAGAAATACTCTTAATTATTTTGCTGTCATCTTAACTGAGTACCAAATTGTTTATATGGCCAAAAGATAACATGTAATTTCATACATCAGCTAATCCCTACAATTTGTATTATGGCCAGCAATAAAACTTTCAACAATTTTTAAAAAGGACATATCACGGCAAAATAAAAGGGATATAAAACAAATGACATTTGAATAGGCTTATAATTTCCTATTCCCTCGTATAGTGAGTGGCATTTCAATTTAAGTCATCTGTATTGAGCATTTCTTTAGAAAATATAGCAACTGAAGATTTCAACATAATATCCATAAATATGGAAACTCCTACCACACCTTAAATATAGAAACACCTAGTACTAGCCTTCAAACTAAGATTCAGGGTATAGTCTTCTTTTTTTTTAAAAAATTGTTTTTATTGATTTTAGAGAGAAAAAGGGAGGAGAGAGATAGAAACATCAATGAAGAGAAATATCAATCAGCTGCTTCTTGCACACTCCCTACTGGGATAGAACTGGGACATATGCCCTGACAGGGCATCAAACCTGTTACCTTAGTGCATGGGACACTCAACCAACTGAGCCACACCGGCCAGGGTATAGTCTTAACTATCACTAACCAATCTTGAATATTTGGACAACAGTAATTTTTCCCTTGGCTTCAGATTCTTTCTTTATAAAATAAGTGTCTCTATCCTTGCTACTCCAAGGACTATCCATGGAACAGCAGCATAAACTGAGCCTGCCTACGTCTCAAAAGAGCGTGATCTTGGACCTCACCCTAGACCTAATGATCAGAATCTGCATTTAAGATCACCAATAAATTAATATGTACATTAAAGTTTGAGAAGCACTGGTCTAGATGATCTAAAAAAGTTTTCTTCCAACTTCAAATATTTCAATCATTTTTCTATTTTTTTTAAGAGCTAATGATGTCCTTAATTTTAATTTTTTCTCAAATATATTTTGTTGATTTTTTTACAGAGAGGAAGAAAGAGGGATAGAGTTAGAAACATTGATGAGAGAGAATCATCCATCAGCTGCCTCTTGCACACCCCCCACTGGGGATGTGCCAGCAACCAAGTTACATGCCCTTGACCGGAATCGATCCCGGGACCTTTCAGTCTGCAGGCCAACGCTCTACCGCCTGAGCCAAACTGGTTTCAGCCATTTTTCTATTTTCTTATTAGAAAACTAGTGGCCCAGTGCACAAAATTTGTGCACATAAAAGGGAAATTAGAGGAAATATTTTAATATTGCTATTTGCTCTTTCTCTATAATAGAAATGTCAGAGATGAAAGGAAATTAGTAAAATGTATATGAAATATATAAATTAATAAACAATAACAACATCATGTCCCTGGCTGGCATTGGGCAGGGACACAGCCTCATGTCCCTCGCCTGCACCAGGCAGTCCCTTGCCCACCTGCACACACCTCACCACACATGCAGCCCTGCCCACCCATGCCTGCTGGGCACGCAGCCTCCTGCTGATCGTTTGTTATGGCATGAGGGCGTCATGACCATTTGCATATTAGCCTTTTATTATATATGATTCCATATTTGTTATATTATAATCTCTTATAAGAAATTTATTATATTAAATACAGTAAATAAACCAGGCAGTACTATTATTTAACAAAGGATCAGTTTATGGTTAAGAATCTTTCAAACCTGCAGTAAAGTTACAAGTCCCTTTTCCATTAAGGCCTCACCAGCAAATTAAGACATGAACATATGTGAACATCTATGAGTCAAGATTTTGCCACAACTAATTTGTTTTCCTCCCTGAAAAGGAAGCAAATTTGTGCACATAAAAAAATTCCTAAAGAAAGAACATTTTAAGGTGAAGCAGTAGAGGTATTTATACTCGAAGTTACAGCTGAATGCCCCCTGCATAAGGAAACCAACTGAATACTTTTTAAAAGATATATATTTTTAATGATCTCATAGAGAAAGAAGAGTGAGACAGAAACATCAATGATGATGGAAACAAGCCTGCAACCTGGGCATGTGCCCTGATCGGGAATCTAACCATGACCTCAGAGTTCATAGGTCAGTGCTCAACCACTGAACCACACTGACCAGGATAACTGAATACATTTAACTCAACTGCAGGAATGATTTAAAATCACAATGAGCATCCTACCCCAGGGTAGAGCTTAGAAGAGACAGATTTAATTTCAGGTGCTTATCACGAAGAAAAAAGTTCTTTGACAGAATCTCTATTCCCAATCTTTAATTTAAAAATATCTAAATATATCTATTCAAGGGCCCAAACTGCCAAGAGTAAAAGAACAATGCAGTAATCTTTATTCCCAGAATCTAGAGAAAAAAAGGGACTTGGCTAAGACTGAAAAAAGATTAGTTTAAAACAAACAAACTATACTGTACTTGAGTTTTCATATTAGTAAAGCCAAAATATAATATCTGAGCTACAAATAACTCAAACATTAATTTCAAATATAAATGACTCAATGGATGTAAATAGCATTCTCAACAGTAGCCATATTTGTTTCATCTCCTCCCTTGTGTAATGTGTGTGTTTCAAAAAGCTTTCTAGATTCAGCATCTACCAATATTGCAGGAGGACAAGAATCTATATTGTAGAGTTATACTGTCCGATACATTATCCCCTGGTCATATGTAGCTGTTGACCATTTGAAATGTCGGATAGTCTAAATTGAAAGGTAGTCTAAATGTAAAACACAAAATGGATTTCAAAGTCTTAGTATGAAAAAAAAGAATGTACACTATTTTTTATACTGATTACTTAAATATTTTGGATATATTAAATAAAATATATTATTAACTTCACTTATTTTTTTGACTACTAGAAAACTTAAAATTACATATGTGGCTTACACTTGTGACATACATTATATTTCTACTAAAATTCGTGCATAGGTAGGATCCCTCTGCCTGGCTGGTTATCGGGGCCAATCAGGGCCATCTTGCCCAGTCCCGATTGGCCAGACCCCAGCAGCAAGCTAACCTACCAGTCAGAGCATCTGCCCCCTGGTGGTCAGTACACTTCATAGCGACCGGTCAGTGGACCGCCCAGTCAGACACTTAGCATATTAGGCTTTTCTATATATAGATTGAGCAACATTGTTCTAGACAATCACCAGGACATATGCACATTTTTAAGAGAGCTCACCATAAACTTTTGTAAGAAAACATTGGAAATTAAAAAAACAAAAAAAAAAAACTGTAACAGTTAATCTTAACTTGATGACATACTAATGAAAAACTTATCTATAAAGTTCTGGCATTTTTGTAATGCATTCATCACAAAACTGAAGTTGAAAACAGAGAATTTATGGCCTTAAACTTCTAATTCACTAAGATGTCAGTGATCAATTGTAGATGACAATTAGAAATTCACTTTTTTTCTGCAACTGCTTTTTCAAAACAAAATACTGTTTCCTATAATCTCTATAATGTTCACATTTCTCTTGCACATATGGGAAACTGACAGTTTCCTTTTTGTCTGAATTCTTCCTCCAGTCAAGCAATCATACAACCTGAGTCTACGAGTGTCCCATCCTTTACCGCATCCCACCCTCACCCTGTTCTTCAAATATAAACCCAATTAATGCAAGATATCCTTCACCCAACCCCAAAAGGATATTTTCAACCTTGCTATTTTTAATTAAGATGAATAGAAACACAAATGCAAGTGTTAATAAAGACTAACAACAAATGTTTGGGTATTTTGGTACTTACATGTAAAACCACATGTGAAAAAAATTCTAAAACTGAGCATTTTAATTTTATTTCAAAATACTCCTACTAACGGACTTTTTTTTTTTTAAACACATCTTTGAGCAAGATATTGTGAAGGAATGTATATAAATTTAAAATTTCAGTTTCCCATAAGTAAAGTTTTATTGGAACACAATCATGTTTATTCATTTAGATATTGTCAAAGGCTGCTTTGATGCTACACGGGCAGAGCTGAGTAGCTGTAAGAAAAACCGTAGGGCCTGCAAAATCTAAATTATTTATTATGTGGCCTTTCACATAAAAAGTTTGCCAACCCAATATAGAGAATAATTATCACATTCCATATGGGTTTCTATTTATTGACTGAAGGGTTGCCTCAAATAGACAAAACTTGGGCAAGATCCCTCCCCCATTCTTACCCTGACACGAACCAGATTGGCATTTGACCTAATTAATATATAATGGGCTCCTGCATAAGATTTCATTTAAAGAGGTTCTAAGACTAAATAAAAAGCTATGAAAATCAAGAACTTGGTACCTGATTCAGCATATAGACTAAAACTTATACTGAAATATGTTGCCAAATAGGTTATAAAGCATTTTAAAACAGAACTTCTGGGTTGGTTATGGTATGGATCTTCACTCCTTTATCAGAAGGATCATTCAAGGTCCTTTCAGCTCTGATTCTTAAATGAGTCATCTCTCCAAAATGAAATTACATAAAGACTTTTCTTCTATCATTCAGACATAATTATAGCTTCCTTATGAAGAAAATTAAACCTGTCATATATTATAAATGTAGAGCATTCCAAGGCAGACAATTACCTACAACGTATTAATTAGAAAATTAAATATGCCTGTTGGTTAACTTGTTTGGAATTCTGTTTTAAAGTAGGAGGGAGGCTATTAGGTAAGCACTGTGTCACTTTATATTGTCACTTTACATTGTTCATTTACATACAAATGATGGCTGACTGCTCTCTTTGACAATGAAGAGGCATACAATATACTTGTTTTACCTTCGTATTTGATTTAGGCTACAAATAAAAAGGCTTTTAATGTTTAAGTCTTATAAAAAGTTTATCAATTATGTTTAGATTTTTGTTTTGCCATATCAAAGCATAAAAAATATTAAGTCAGTGAGATCAAATTTCTGGCTCACTTAAAGAAGTAACAGTGCTATGCATAACTGGCTGTGTTTCTCAGGTCACTGCAGGGCAGACACTCGGCTCAGTCCCAAAAGGCCAAGAGTAAACTAGTACTGATATATTATTGTCGTCAGTTAACAAGCCACTGACAATTTCAATTCCCAGGGAATATAAATTATCTTTTAAGCCTGTGTATTTTACACACAAATTTATAATCTACACATCTCATCTGAGGACAATAAATGACAACTTCTTTTTCATTACTGTTTTTATAGTCAAAGTGCTAAATTTACAGATAACTTAAATGCAATTTTAAAACCAGCTTTCATAAGATATGCCATAGTAAATATCAAGCTTGATAATACTGTCAATGGAGACAGAAAAACTGAGTTACAAAATAATTCCTTTTCCACAGTTTTAAATACAAAATACAGAATGGTATGTGATTTTGCATTTATTATTTCAATATTTATTTACTAACAAAGAGAATATTTTTCCTTCCCAAGGGGATTCAAGTTTAAGGAAAAGCCTCTCTGCCCTCCAATCTATAATTAACTTACCTTTTATTTTTTACAAACAAAATACTTGGATTTCTCAGAGCCATCTTTTAACATTTAGATTCAAAAGCTCTGGCAGTTTTGAAAAACATAGTTAGGTCTCCATAGTAGGGGACTTTCATCCATTGGTGTTTAATATACACCATCTATTAATAAACCAACTGCTAACATAAACTTATTCTAAGATAATTTATGTGACATCTTAAGACTGAAAATAATTTTTGCCTTCTTTTCTACAACATAACCTCTTTAAAGCCTCTTAGCTACATTAGATGCTGGAATTAAACCAGCCAAGTAACAATCAAAATTAAAGTTAAAAAAGAGAGAAGAAATATAGTAGACGTTATACCTGAAAACTTACCTTGATCCTGTCATAGGACCTCTTCCATCCTTGTCATATCCCCCACGCCCTCTACCTCCTCCCTGTGACCCGCCATATCCTCTATTATCTTCTCCATACCTACTCACATCACGACGGTCATCTATAAAAAGAAAATATGTACGTAAATAAATAACTACTATTCTGTTTTCAGACACAGACTTCCCACAACAACCTTAAATGGCTCTTTAGGTCAAACTATATTTTCTTTGGAAAATGGCATATGTGAACAGAACTCAAATTCAAGCCATCATAAAACCAACTGGAATTAAATGTGTTCAGGAATTATATTTGTGTCAAACAAAGTCAGACAGCAAAATGGTGATGGTGATGTAGAAAAGTTTGAATTCAAGTACAACAATAGGTACAAAACCCTAATAAATTAGATGAAAAGCATAACCTGAAATCTGAAAAATTACTTTCTTGACCTCAAAAATACTTAAATGCAAATTAAGCATGGATCAGAAATAACTCGATTTTCAAACTGAGATACTCAGTGTACACGCTCACTGAAAAAAATATTCAATTGAAAGATATTCAGTGTGTCCAGCCAGTGTGGCTCAGTGATTGAATGTCGACCCATGCACCAAGAGGTTGCTATTTCGATTCACAGTCAGGGCACAAGCCCAGGTTGTGGGTTGGATCCCCGGTTTGCAGGTATCATGCAGAAGGCAGCCAGGCCATGTTTCTCTCACATTGATGTTTCTATCTCTCCCTCCCTATCCCTTCCTGTCTCTCTAAAAGTCAATTTTAAAAAATATTTTAAAAGTTTAACTCTCCATGTATAAATTTTAAAAATATCCAGTAAATGAGCGTTCACTTTTACTCATTCACTTATTCAATTATTCATGAACCAAGCCCTATACTAGGCAATGAAGGTACAAATATAAATAAAACTGAACTTATGCCTTTTCTTGGCAAGGATAGATTTCTAGCTATCAGTTGTAATATATAATGTGCTATTGGAAAACAAGAAAAAATGACTGGTCCTTCTTACATGAGGTCAGAGAAAGCTAATATAGAATCATAATTTTCCCAAATCAAGTATACTAACACTTCCAAAAGAACTGGTAGCAGCAGCAATTGCCAAATGATCACATTTCTCTGAGAAAAAAAGGAAATTAATGTATCAGCAACCAAAAAGTCATGTGACCATTTGGGAATCTCCAAGAAGCTCAGAAATAGGAATCTAATAAACTAATTTTGATAGTCATGAAAGAGAACACATGGCCACAGTTACTCTAAATTTTTACAATTAAAATCCTATTTGAGTTTTGTGGATTTTTTTTTTTTCTTTAAATCCTCACCTGAGGACATGCTTACTGATTAGAGGGGGGGGGAAACATCAAAGTGATAAAGAAACATCGACTGGTTGCTTTCCATACACAACCCAACTGGGGATCGAACCTGTAACCCAGGTATGTGTTCTGACCCGGAACTGAACCCAGCAACCATTTGGTGTATGGGACGATGATCCAAAGGTAAATGTAATTACTCAATATGTAAGTAATTCTGTAAGTAGAGAAATAAAAAAAGAGGTAAGTATATCTTACCTTGTGTGTGGTGGCTGTAATTTTCCCTTTGTGAATGGTAGGACTGCTGGTTTTGATTATAGGAATCATGCTGCTGATCATAATTTGACTGCTCATCATATGAACCTTGATGATGATCATAGCCTGACTGCTGGCCATACGAATCTTGTTGACCATAGTTTGACTGGTCATATGAAGGCGCTCTTCCACTTTGGCTAAACAGAAATCAAGAACTTGAGAGATTTTATAGAAGGGTTATGTTTACTGTAGCAAGTCGACTGACACTGATATAAAAAGTCTGACTAGCTAAACCTGAACCATATTTACTACTTTTTTGTGGTGGAAATCATTTCGTTCTTTTATCTATCTATATAGTCTCTTTTATCACCAATAGAATGACCTTCAAACAACAATTTAACTATCCTTGAAGAGGTGCCACATTATGAGAAAAAAAACATATGCACCTTTGAAAATAGTGAAGCAAAAAATTCAGTATGATTTTTACATCTCAAATTAAAAAATTAAAGGTGCCACAAAGTACAGTAATGTCAATTCTTTAACACACATGGCACAAGTACTGAGTCCTTTAATAATTACACTGAAAGGCTCTGTGTCACCTAATTTTAATATCTCATAATGTTTTAAGGACTACTTTAATTTCAAAAAGGAAGGGGGAAGAGAAGGAGAGAAAGGGGGGGGAGGGGAAGAAGTGGAAGAAGAGGGAGAGGGGGAGGGGGAGAGAGGAAAAGAGAGAGGGGGAGAGGGGAACATCAAAGAGAGAATTCACTGATCATCTGCTTCCTGCACACCTCCTTCTCGGGATCAAGCCAGCAACCTGGCAAGCCCTGACTGGGAATGGAACCGTGATCTCCTGGTGCACAGGTTGACACTCAACCATTGAGCCACACCGGCAGGGCAGGCTATTTTTTATAATTATCTTTAGAACCTACAGTATATTCTCTTTATTTTAAAAATTTCTATTTACTTAGAAGCATTCAGAACATCAATAAAAGAGCTGCAACATTTTTTTGCAATTAGAGTGGTATAGTCAATTAACAGAACAATTATTTTGTATAAGCTGTATCAGAGACAAGTGAAGATGAAAAAACTACCATCCCTATATATACCTAATTTGTGCTGTGTACCAACAAGAACCTGCTTTAAATTGTCATGCCAATGTACAATCCCCGTATTATACCGAGCAAAGTTAGTGGCTATTGAAAATATCCATAGGACAGGGATATCTAAAGACATTTGGTAGTGTATTAACTATACAAAAAGAGACACTGTACAGCTTAAAAATAAATCTTACACAACTTATATTTCAATTTTTTTCTCTAAAAGGAATTAATTGTGTACAGGGGGGTTAAATGGTTTTCTAGACAAGAAATGAAACTGCATTAAACTCAACATATTCATCATCACATTCTCCTTCATCTTAAGAGTACATTCTTTTAAATATCTTTAATGATAATGTTTTATTAATCAGGTATGCATTCAGATTTTTAGTCTGCTGAATAAAGAGAGAATTCACTTTGTGATGCCATTTTTTATCTGAAAAGAAGTCTAACTACCAAATAACATTGCTTTCTTATCTCTGGCAATTCAAAAAGGAAATTCTAGGTATGTTCTTTGCAATATGACTATTAATTACCTGCCTTAAGGATAGGGATGTTGAAAGGAACACTTAATTGGATTTGAGTTCTAATGTTCACTTTTTTAAAAGGTCTCATAACTTATTAGTCACATCTTATTCTGCATCAGATAATCAGATCAGAATGTTTCCCAACTTCCTACCCAAAATGTATCATATTAATGGACAGAACCCTAGCACTTCACTTTTAAAATGGTTGTGTTTGATCTCCAATCAGTGCACGTACAAGAAGCAACTAATCCTATATAATAAAGAGCTAATATGCTAATTAGACTGAACAACAGGAAGACTGAATGGATGAAGCCACATGGCGAGGGCCGAGCCCATTGCATGAATCTCATGCATTAGGCCTCTAGTAAACACATAAATAACTGGAACAACAAATCAATGTTTCTTCTCTCCCTTCCTCTGAAATCAATTTTTAAAATATTTTTAATTGGTTGGGAACCAAAATCTAACATTTCTCTTTGGTCTACATTTACATGTGACACTTCCAAAAATGTATCCTTATAAAAGGGTTCTTCTTAAATTTAATACTAAGTAGTAGAGCTTGAAGAGTTCTTCCTTCCAATGTAGCATGCTTTCTGGATGTTATCCCCTACATTTGTACTCATTCTCTACTTTTCAAAGCACTCTCATTAAAGTGACAATTTGACCTCACAAATCTTTCCCCATTGTTTTTATTTGAATTTCACTTAGAATAATTTTTTTTGCTGCAAGAGAAAATACTAGTGACTTCAGTTTTTCCTTTAATTACTGATACTATCTTATTCTGGTGTTCAAGGATCATCAATTAAATTAGAGAATGCAAAAGCATTTCACAAAATGTAAAGTACAATAAAAAAAAGTAAATCATTATTATTAAAATTAATAACAAGTACAGACTCCTCAAATCTGAAAGTTAAAAAAACAATAAGGTATGGCTCAGTCAGTTGAGCATCATCACCCCATGCACTGAGAGGTCTCAGGTTCAATTCCCAGTCAGGGCATCTACCCAGATTTCAACCTTGATCCCCAGTAGGGACATGTAGAAGACAGCCAATCAATGTTTCTCTCAATGTTTTTTTCCCTCTCTTTCTCCAAAAACCAATAAAAATTTATTAAAAAAAAACACACAACTATAAAACCTATAAATGTGCTGGCAAATATTTATATACTTATATTAATAAAATGTATTTTAGGGTATCTGAAATATGTGAACAGGTTTTGGCACTTTTTAAAGCATTTTTGTCCTTCAAAAGATAATACATTAAAATAGTTTAAAAAATAGAAATAAAAGCGTTGAAAAATCTTTCATAGATAAGTTTTTATTTAATCTCAAGCATAAAGGAGAAGCCAAGTTTTTCCTTCATGTGTATTCATTTGCAGCTAAATAATCATTTTACAAATAACACATCATAAATATTAAATAACATTGCTAACAATAAAACTGTGAAATTCATACGCCATCAAAAAATTTCTGAAAAAAATGTTCAGTTAGGAGTATATTGCTGAAACCTGTTTAATACACAAAGTATTATTTCCACTGCCCAACACAATCTCAGTTCTTTTACTGTTTCCTTACCCTCCTGATGATTCCGTGTTTTGCTGTCCCTGGTTATTATAAGATTGCTGGCCATATGAGCTCTGTTTTTGATTCTCATAACCACCGTAGGATTGTGAATAACCTAAAGATTGGATGGATATACCACTTAGTAAAGGTTCTAATTTTTTTAAATTTGTAAAGTAGCAAATTTAACAAACCAGTCCAACCTGATTGGCTTTGTCCATAATTGGAGTAGCCGCCATAGTTCTGTCCATATGAGGAATCAGTAGTTTGCCCATAACCAGAATAGCCCTGAAATTTAGGTAAATACAAGTTTTGTCATCTACTTAAGATAAAAATAACTATTTATAAAGAATACAATTTGTATTTTAACCTACTTGTGGTGCTTGTCCATAACCTTGATTGCCTTGATTTCCATAGGAAGAATAACTGTTAAAAAAAAAAAAAAAAAGAAAGAAAGAAAGAAAAAAAAGTAATACTTGAAAGAAATTTAATAGCACTGGCACAAGCAAATTTAACAGCTTGAAGAACCCTAACCTCATTTTCAAATTTAAGCTTCTTTTCTGAGAAGCTGTCAATCTGTCTGTCTCTTGAGTCTAAATTGAAAGGTGATGATCAAAGACAGCTAAAGATATAAATGAAGTCACTCCCAGACCTTTTGGATGCCAAACACACACCAACAAAAGTTTTCCTTTGATAATCTCCCACAATTAAACAAAACTTCACCAGAGCTGGAAAATCCCAGCGAATTAATTATGCTTGGAAGGTGGGGAGGGAGGGACAATAAAACAACAAAACCCATAAAATTATCTGACACAGAAAAATGATGACTGTTAATGCTTTAATCAATTTACTATGTATTGACAGATTAATTTCTTCCTACTATTTGCCTTAAATCTGCCTTTCATTTCCTAGAAAAGGCACAGGGTGGCACTAACAGTTTAATTTTTCGTGCCGTGGTAATTAGAATAATGTATATATATCTTCAGAATATTATCATAAGATTATTTTGAATCCCCAGTGTCAAAACACAGCCTGGAATACAGTTTGATTGAACAAATGTAACCTTCTCAGATTTGAAGAAGTATCTTTAATTTTGCCTAACATGTAAGTTCTACCAAGTCAAAAACAAACTTTCTAAATATACGCCAAAGAAAACTAAAACATTTGCAAAAAAATATTTTTATCATTTTAGAGCTTTCAAGTGCTAACAAAATTTAAATTTGAGAAATATATTTCATTGAATAAACATTTGCTAGCTGACTACTATGAGATTAGCACCATCCTATGAGAATAAAAAATTAAATCAGTTTTCATGAACTAATATGTGAAATGCTATTCTGAATATCTCACAGTGGACTGCAAAACATTTATAGTATAAGTTGAAGGCTGTATTTCTAGTAAGCATGAGAACCCTATTACATGTAAACATTCACATAAAACATACATTTTATTGTGAGCATAATAAGGAATCTTTAAAAAATTCTAACCACTTCTATTATAGTGCTTCTAGAAAATCTTTTCCAAATGAATATATTATTTACAATAAAAATATTAAATGCTTTTTCTAAGAATCTGTTATAGTTCTACTGTTTAAATCCTTTTAATAACTGTTCTTTTTAAATTTTCCAAAGAAAACAATCTTTACAATACCTGTAAGGTTTGTATTAATCTCTAGGAGGCATCTATATTCACTGATTCAAACAGTCTTTTAAAAAGGGAGGAAGTGTTTCACAGCACCTATTTACAAAGGCTGACTCTTTTCCCTTGCTGAGCTAATATTTAACTCTCTTAAGACATTCAAATACCAAATCTCAAGTGGGAAGGCCTAAATTCATCTTTTTTTTCAATTCTACTCTTTCATGGTATTAAAATGTATGTATACTTTACCTTTGCTGCTCACCCCCAGACTGACCGTAACTTCCAGAATCTAAAACACATAAAAAGAATTTTAAATCTGATTTTAAATTATGCTTCCCTCAAAAGCTGGCTTTAGACCTTATAAAATAATGTGATAAGAAGCTGTCATATAAAGAAACTATAGAAAGAAAAATGAAGTTAAAGAATTGTGCAAGGAGAAATCTGTACAAGTAGCATTTGCTGTTTATAGTACCTACTAGAGGCCCGGTGCACGAAATTTGTGGTGGTGGGGGGTATCCCTCAGCCCAGTCTGCACCCTCTCCAATCTGGGACCCCTCGAGGGATGTCTGACTGCCTGTTTAGGCTCAATCCAAGTAGGATTGAGCCTAAACAGGCAGTCAGACATCCCTCTCACAATCCAGGACTGCTTGCTCCCAACTGCTCACCTGCCTGCCTTCCTGATTGCCCCTGTTTCTGCCTGCCAGCCAGATCACCCCCTAACCACTCCCCTGCCAGCCTGTTTGCCCTTACCTGCCCTTCCCTGCAAGGCCTAGTCACCTCCTCTACTGGCCTGGTCACCCTTAACTGCCCTCTCTTGCAGGACTGGTCCCTCCCAACCGCCTTCCCCTGCTGGCCTGATCACCCACAACTGCCCTCCTTTGCAGGCCTGGTTCCTCCCAACTACGCTCCCTGATGTGATCATAGATGAATGTCCTCATGTGGACACAAGATGTGGAGGCCACCTTGTGTCCACATGGGGACATCCATCTTTGATCACATGCAGGCAGCCATCTTGTGTTGGGGTGATGGTCAATTTGCATATTACTCTTTTATTAGATAGGATATCTTTGAAAACAACTACTATAAAAACATGTCCCAATGGTCACAAGGACCAAGTGACCAAATGTGAAATCAGTGAAAAATCCATCCTTTTAACAAAAACTCAAAAGCTCAAACTATATTACCTTTATATACAAAAAGATATCTTAAAACTAACCAGGACCAAAAAGGGGGAAGACACTCTGACAAGATAAATGCCAGAATTACATTTACTTCCATATCCTTCTCAGCCCAACATCTATACCATTCCCTTGTACTAGACTGCCTTAGCTGTCAGCAGCAACAAAAGCATCTGTGAAGACTTGGTGAAAACAGCTATTAGTTGTTTAAATATAACTTTACCAAGCTTTCAGGGTGTTAGCCAATTGATAAAACAACTCAGCAACATGTACTTCGAACTTCCTTTTTGGCAATAAAATCTACCAAAAAAGCAATGAATTGATAATATATGTAAAAAAATAAAAAATTTTCTCAATACTTCAAAAATGTATGCTTTATCAAAAAACTTTTTAATAGGCTCTAGCTTTCAGGCTCCTACTCACAAATGAATGACCTAAGTTTATTGATGATGAATAAGAGCAAAATATTAGATGACTAGAGGCTCAGTGCACAAAATTCGGCCTGCTCCCTCTCCAATCTGGGATCCCTCAGGGGATGTCTGACTGCCAGTTTAGGCCCAATCCCTGTGGGCCTAAACTGGCAGTCAGACATCCCTTTTGCAATCCCAGACTGCTGGCTCCTAACTGCTCACCTGCCTGCCTGATCACCCTTAACCACTCTGCATGCCGGCCTACTCACTCCCAACTGCTCCCCACCACAGGCCTGCTCACCCCAACTGCACTCTCTCCTGGCGTGATCGTCCCTAATCACCTCTGCCTTGGCCCCACCACCATGGCTTTGTCCGGAAGGACGTCTGGACGGTCTCCTGGTCTAATTATTAGTATGGATAGAAGATACTTTCAAGCAAAAAATGACACTCATAGTCAAACTGCTGACCATTAGACCAACCTTATCCAATCTGAAATACAACCATTTGTTGTTGTACAGTTCTGAAAACCAACCAAAAATCAAATCAGTGACTTTTTCATTCAACTCATATAGTTACAATATGAAAACATTACTATATAATAAAAGAATATGCTAATTAGACCAAACATCCTTCCAAATGTCCTTCTGAACAACCTTCCGGACGAAGCCAGGGCTGCAAGGGAAGCCCAAGTCCCTGCCGGCAGCTGGAGGGAAGCCGGTGCCAGCAGCCGAGGGAAGGAAGGCCTACTCTCTTCTTTTTAAAAAATATATTTTATTGATTTTTTACAGAGAGGAAGGGAGAGTTAGAAATCAATGAGAGAGAAACATCCATCAGCTGCCTACTGCCATCAGCTGTCATCCCTTCAGTCCGCAGGTTGATGCTCTATCCAATGAGCCAAACCAGTTTCAGTGGGAAGGCCTACATTGGACCTCAAATTACTATATTAAGTGGATGACATCAAATTTGGCACTTTCCTAAATTCTCCAATCAGACTGAAATTATTTTTAAGCCTTAATTAAATGCAATCCTGACACAACTACTCCTATGAATGTGAAAAGCATGAAGCTACCTGAGATAAAAAAGAAAACTCCATCATTGCTATGTCCGTGGAAATAAATGACTATCAATTTATAGCTAAGCAAGTAAGAAAAACATGAAAAGAATAGACTCTAGCCGAAACTAGTTTGGCTCAGTGGTAGAGCATTGGCCTTCGGATTGAATGGTCCCGGGTTCGATTCCGGTCAGGGGCATGTACCTTGGTTGCGAGTGCATCCCCAGTGTTGGCGTGCAGGAGGCAGCTGGTCGATGTTTCTCTCTTATCGATATTTCTAACTCTCTATCCCTCTCCCTTCCTTATAGTGAAAAATCAATATATATATATATTTTTAAAAAGATAGAAAAAAAGAACTGGACCATAACAATTAGATGCATCTATCAAATGAGGGGGGGAAAGTTAGCTTTAATCAGATAAGAAACGGAAAAGAATTATTGGGGGTGGCATAGGTGTCATGTGAATAAAATTTAAGATACTTTAGGGATGTATGAAACTAGGTTAAACTATATCCAAAGGTATGAATGTGGTTTCTCTATGACAAAAGTGGAGTCCAATATCTCAGTATATATCCCTTTGATACAGGCAAAATTACCGAAGTGCATAACACATGGGTATTTAGTTCCCGGTTCAAATCTAATACTGAGTCCTTAACTGTAACCAGTTACTTCAGCCCTGTGAAATTATGTGTTCAGCTAGCTGACTTTAAAACTGCTGAAGATACAAAAATAAGCATACTAACCAATAAGTCTGACCCTTAATATAAATACTTGAGTCTGAGGAAGTACAGATGTTTATATTCATCAGAGAAAATCAGTTTATAATTATTTAGGGCATTTCAAACAACTGCTCATTACAGGTAGACACCTAGGCCTTGTGTCTGGATCCATGAATTATTTATAAGTGCTTTTACTTCCAAGTGTATAGGGTTTGATTCTCTTTGTTTTTATCTTCTAATTACATTCCATTGCAGTAAGAAAAGGTATTTTCTGTATTTTTCCTGGTATTTGTTAGGATTTACTGTTTTGTTGCTTTTCCTCCTTGAAAAATGCTTTACTTGTATAAATATCCCTATGTGCTCGAAAAGAACTGTGTATTTCTGTTAAATGAATTCCCTAAGACTATAAGATGATGCTTATTAGTTCTATCATTCATATTCTTACTAACGTTTGGTCTGCCCAACCTTTTAATTACACAGGGAGGCATGTTTAAAAACTCTATTTGTTTTTTTTGGTTTTTTTTTTGCTTTCATATTTTGAGGCTATAATTACTGTTAGGCATATAAAAGTATCAGCTTACATCTTCCTGGTGAATTTACTTTAAACATTCATTACATAAAAACTATCATTTAAAATGTTCACACATTATTCTGCTGGTAACAATCTCCCTTTTGTTTTTTTCCTGGTAAATCTTTTTCAATCTCTATACTTTCAAAATTTCCTTTATTTTAGGCTTATTTTTGAACAGCACATATTCAGATTTTATTCCAATGAGAAAATCTTTGTCTTTAAATTATTTCTGTATTTTTACTATTTACTTCATTTCTACCCACTAATATTGAACTTTCTACTTACCAGGGTTGGTTGGTTTATTCCTTTTAAACTCCTTCCCTGCCTTCTATTAAATGTTTACGTTTTCCTTTTACTGCTTTATAAGTGATACATTCAATTTGTTGTTTTAATAAGTCACCATTCATAATTTAATTGTGTTCAATTTTAACATGTATTCTTGGCAAAGTTCAAAATGATCAACTCCATTAGAATATAAGAATCTTACTAACAGGCCAATCAGCCTTCACCTATTATTTTGCTCACTTTTCCCCTATCCTTTTCCTGCCATGTTTTTTAAATCTTTAAATGTAATCATTTTCATCTTCAATAATTTGCTTTTCACTTTCTGTTTGTTTCCCCTATATTACTTTTTTTTAAATTCTATTCCTCCATTCCAGATTTAACACATTTTATTAGTTCTGTAAGCCAAGACATGAAAGTGGCAGTCTTAGTCTTATTTTGGTAAAAATTTCAAGATCAATGGTTATTTTGACTCTAAATTCCAAGGATTTCAATATTTTCCAGCTTAAACTTTAAGTCTCTCAATCAGTTTCCTATTCCCTCTAGTAGGTTTGTTATTGGTATTTCAATCTGCAGTTTTACATGTGTATCTAGCTATAACTTCTGTTTGAAACCACTACTTAATTTTTAAAAAATCATCAGTTTTGTAAAACTATCAGCCATCTATTAATTCTTCCATTTCCTCCTCAAATTCATATTCGACGTTCACAGGACTCCTCACTCTACTTGCCATGTTTCTTAATCTTTTGTTTTTCATCTCTATATCCTTCTAAATTGAATTCTGAGTAAATTGTATCACATCTTCCCCTTCACAATTTCTTCTACAAGGTCTACTGTAATTCAATTTATTCTTTTTTTCCATTTCTAGAAGTTGTACTTGTTTCTTCTTCAAATCTGCATGTGGTTTTTCATAGCATCTTGGACTCAGGGTTGATTCTTCCTTTTAGGTTTTTAATAATTTTAAACATATAATATTCACTTTCAGATTACCTATCAGGGGTTCTAATCCCATTTGTCACTAGCACTCATTTTGGTGAATTGTTTCCTGGAGTTCCGCAATTTTCTTACTGTGAACTCAT